GACAAAAGGTCTTCCCAGTATTAGTGATTCTATGTTTTACCATTTGGTAGGGGGCCACTTTTTTTACCCTTTGCAATCAATAAGTGATCTTTGGCGTCCTACTTTGGAACCGGGGAATATCCTGTAACCTAAGAACTTTCACCTAATTGCTTCCATTGACGTTCCTCCTCTAAATCAATTATTGCATTGGAGGTGGCAAAGTGTGAAAGATGGTGTTTAAATTCATGAGAATGAGATCATCTAGGGAGAGAGTGTGAGTGAAGAAGAAAAGAGTCCAGGTTCACCCCCTTAGTGACTCCAACCACTGCAAGTCAGGTACAGGATGGTGCAGCAAAGGGGTGAGGAAAGAAGCAGTCAGATGAAAGGAAACCAAGTACAGAGAGCGTTTCAACAAAGAGGAAGTTGTGAATTAGCGTAAGATGAAAAAAGAAGTGCCCATTAAATTTGGCAAGATAGAATTCACTGGAGAAGTTGGCAAGAGATTTTGCAGAGGACTGGGACAGAAACCAGGCTACCGTGGGTTAAAGTGAATGAGAAAGAACAAAGGAGAAAGCCATACTTTTTCAGACGTGGCTTTAAATATCTCTAGCTTGGGCTTGTCAATAAACATTTATTGGCTTTCACAAATTTCACATTAATTTCTCTTCCTTTGGTCATTTCTCTCAACATGAGCTTTGAAATGTAGTATAGTTAGATACGTAAGTGTAATTGATCGTCTTTCTTGCTAGACTGTAAGCTCTGTGAAGACAGGAATTGTCTTGGTTCATTTCTGTGGCCTCTGGCATAGTAATTATTCAACAGATCTTGGTAGTTGTTACATGACTCTAAGTCTGGCAGATCTCATTGATCGTACGATCAATTACCATCTGCACGGTCATCATTCCCAGGTGTGTGTCTCTAGCTCAGAGCCTTCTCCTGAGGACTTACATATGCAAGATTTTACCCAACATCTCCACTTCACCTCAAACTCAGTGTGTCCCAAATCGAATGCATCAATGTCACTCTGCAAATACGCTTTCACCCAAGTTCTTTATCTTAGGGAATAGCATGGTCATTAGTCCAATTGCCCGAGTCAGAGAGCCTTGAACTCTTCCTCAGGCTAGGGGCCGTCTTCTACTCTTATCTGAATTATTGTCTATTTTTGTTTAGTTTTTTAAAGCAACCAGCCAGTGTCTAACACATACTAGGTATTCATAAATAGTATTGGATGAATGGTCTGACTTCAGGTTTATTCCCATTGAATTCATTTTCCACTCAGCAGTCAGCGACTTTCTGAAACATATCTGATGCTGATCTAATGCCACTTAGTGGCTCACCATCGTCCACAGGTTAAAGATCAAATTTCTTGTTGTTCATTGGGCTCTTTATGATTCACACAATCAGATCTACTTACCTCTGCAGTTTAACTTCTTGCCACTTTACTCCTGGTGATTCTGAATGTTCGGTGTCTCAAATGTGCCAAACTCTCTTCCCTTTCCACTTTATGTTACATTTGCACTGAATCCTCATATTCCTGATCCTCTTTCATCTGACTCACTCCTACTAATTCTTTAGGTGCTACCTTAGTGCTCACCTCCTGACCTGACCTAGACTAGGTTAGAGACTCCTGCTAGGTCACAAAGCATTTTGCTAATCAAGCATTTACTTACGCACTTAAGTAATCAAGGCCCACGTTGCCTTTTGCTACCAATTTTGCAAGGAACATTCTTACACTAAAGTCTTTGTACAGACTGTCTGAAAGGTTAGGTCCTGGGAGAGGAATTTCTACATCAAAGAGCACATGAGTTTTGACTAACAGATATTGTCAAGTTGTTACAATTAAGTTGTACGGTATGCCATTTCCCTCTACCTTCATCTTAGTGTATGGTGAAAGTGTTTGCTCATTGTTAATCTGCTATGGAAAGATTGGCATTTCATTTTACTTTGCATTTCTTGGATGATAAGTAAGATTATCTTTTCAAAAATAAAGGACATTTGCATTCCTTCTAGGTTATCTTTGCATGGATCTTACCTACTTTTTGTCTTTTCCTTATTGATTTATAAAAGCCTCTAATCAGAAGAAATTTGCTTTGCCTGTCAGGTGTTTGTCATTTGATTATGGATTTTTCCTCCATGCAGATTCTTTTTCTTTTTATGAAATCACAGCTATCTTTCATGGTTTCATAGTCTGCTTTAGAAAGTCTATTTTAGGGGCCAGCCCTGTGGCTGAGTGATTAAGTTTGCGTGCTCCGCTTTGGCGGCCCAGGGTTTTGCTGGTTCAAATCCTGGCGCGGCCAGGGCACCACTCATTAAGCCACGCTGAGGCGGCATCCCACATGCCACAGCTGGAAGGACCCACATCTAAAAATACACAACTATGTACTTGGGGGGCTTTAGAAGAAAAAGGAAAAATAAAATCTTTAAAAAAAAAAGTATATTTTGAAATTCTAAAGACACTCTCCCACATTATCTTGTACTATTTTTATAGTTTCTTTTTTTAAAATTTACATCTGGAATTTATTTTTAGTTTGAAAGTAGGTGAAAGATACAAATTCTTTCCCCCATGTGGAAAGCCAGTTTTCCCAAAATTATTTCTTGAATAACGTACACTTTGAGGAAATTCCACCATTGATTGTTTCTATTTTCTTTGTGAAGTAGAAGTTGCTATTATCTGCTGAGAGGGAGTTGCTGAAGTCTGAGGTTTGAGGAAAATTAAAAATGGGAAAGAAAAAAACCCCACAGAATGTTAGGTGATATCAAGAGGCTAGCTAAGGTTGGAAAGCAGGGCCTTGCCATAGCCACCACCCTGATATTAGAGGATTTTATTTAGTAGTGCTCAACAGCTTGGCTTTAAAAGCATAAGATGCAGACATTTGAATTTGTGCAGTGTTGAATTTATTTATTTTTAGGAAGATTGGTCCTGAGCTAACATCTGTGCCCATCTGCCTCTAATTATATGTGGGAGGCCTGCCACAGCATGGCTTGATAAGCAGTGCGTAGGTCCACACCCGGGATCCGAACCAGTGAACCCTGGGCTGCTGAAGCAGAGCGTGCAAACTTCATCACTACACCACTGGGCCAGGCCCTGTGCAGTGTTGAATTTTAACAAGATGAGAGGAAAAAGAATGGAAAGATGGGGGATAGAGTGATGGACCATTAAATCTAAGATAAATAGTAAAGGGAAATAAATAGAATATAGTCTGGTAACAACTCTCTAAAACCTAGTGGCTTAAATGACAACATGTATTTTGCTCACAAATCTATAATTTGGGCAGGGCTCAGCCCAGGCTCTTTACTGCTGTCCAGCATCACCTGGGACAGCTGGCTTGAAGACTGGGAATCAACTGAAGTTGGCTGTGTTCCAAGTGACGTTGTATCATCTTTTTTTTTTTTTTTGAGGAAGATTAGCCCTGAGCTAACTACTGCCAATCCTCCTCTTTTTGCTGAGGACGACTAGCCCTGAGCTAACATCCCTCTGTGCCCATCTTCCTCTGCTTTATATGTGGGATGCCTACCACAGCATGGCTTTTGCCAAGTGGTGCCATGTCTGCACCCAGGATCTGAACCAGTGAACCCCGGCCACCGAAGAGGAACGTGCACACTTAACTGCTGCGCCACCGGGCTGGCCCCATGTATCATCTTTGACAACTGTGGTAGACAAAATAATGGCTCCCCCAAAGATGTCCACATCCTAATCTCTGGAATCAGTGAATATGTTTACCTCACTTGGCAAGGGGACTTTGCAGATGTTAATAATGGGGGGATTATACTTGATTATCTGTGTGGGTACAATATAATCAAAAGGGTCCTTCCTTCTTATAGAAGGAAGTCAGAGGGGCAGTCAGAAAACAAGAGGTTGGAGTGATAGGCTTTGAAGCTGGAGGAAGGAGTTATATGCCAAGGAATGCTGGTGGCTTCTAGAAGGTGGAGAAGGAAACTGATTGGTCCCCAGAGGCTCCAGGAGGAATGCAGCCCTACCAAACATCTTGATTTTAGCCCCATGAGACTCATTTTAGATTTCTGACCTCCAGAACTGTTAACAAATTTGTGTTCTTTTAAGCCACTAAATTTGTGATTTGTTATAGCAGCAATAAGAAACTAATATAGATGACCCAGATACTGAAGTTACATAGCGCCACTTCCACCATTGTTACTGACCTACCCAGACTCATGAAACAGATCACCATCTCCCAATGGAAGAGTGTCAATGTCACACTGAAGAGCATGTAGGGTGGGAGACAGTAGTGTGGCCATTTCTGGAAAATATTATCTGCCACAGAAAGAAAATTAGGATCAACTTGATTAGTAAAGGGCTAGATGTGGTCAGATGCCTAGCCTTCAGGAGGTGAGTATTTGTAAATTTTCATTAGGCCTTAACCATGAACGCTTTCCAATATGTGGCCTGTCAAGCCTAGGTGCTTCTCAGAAATTATAGGCAATCTAGGGGTGGTGGTAGCAAAAATCTGGGCATATAGTTTGAACTGTTCCAAATATGTATTAAAAATACTAGTAAATGGAATTTGACATTATGTATAAGAAAATAAAGAGGATCTTTATTATTTCATACCTGAAGGACTGTATGATGGTGGGGGTTAGGAGCAAACAAAAAATAAAGTTTGGGACTTGACATTCTCATTCTGAAACCGTCATACAAAGATCCCTCCTAACCAGTGCCCCATTTCCTTCATGATCTCAAAAGGCAAGAAGTCATTAGCTTCTACAAACCGTTCATGATCTTTATAGAAAATGCAATTTTAAAAAGGGTATATTTTCTTCTCTTAAAGGATTGTCTTCCATTAGTGATTTAAAAAACAAACACATTCTGAAATGCTTCCCCTAAAACAAAGCTAAACATTTTCCAAAGAATGCGAGAATGCAAACTAATTTCCTTTCAAATAAATCTTATGTAAAAATAATGCATGCAAAAATGAACAGGTTTTCATAAATAAAGCCATTTTAAACCAGTAGCCCAAGAGAAAATAATCATCTCAATGTTAAGACTTTAGTTTGAGAGTGATCTATTTGATTGTTTTAAGAGCTTTATTGAGGTATAACTGACATATAATAAACTGTACAGATTTCAAGTGTACAATCTGATGTTTGACACTCATATATTTATACACAACCATATATATATATATATATTTATATACACACCCACAAAATCATCACTGTGATCAAGATAGTGGATATATCCTCCACCCACAAAAATAATGCATCTTATTCCTGATATTGGTAGTTTATGTATTTTTATTTTCCTGATCAATCTAGTTAGAGGTTTACCAATTTTATTGATCTTCTCAATGAATCAACTATTTTTCATTGATTTTTCTCTTTTGGTTTTGTTTTCTAGTTTATTGGTTTCTGCTCTTTACGATTCCTTTTCCTCTACTTACTTTGCATGTAAATTTCTTTTCTTATTTCTAAGGTAAAAGCTGAGGTTATTGATTTGAAACCTTTCTTCTTTTGACATATAGGCCTTCAGTGAGGTAATTTTGCTCTAAATCTGCTTTAGCAGTATTCCATGTTTTGAAATGTTGTGTCTTTATTTTCATTCTGTTCAAGTTTCTAATTTTCCTTTTGATTTCTTTGACACATGGCTCATTTAGAAGTGTGATATTTAATTTCCAACTATTTATGGGTTTTCCAGAGATTTTTCTGTTACTGATTTCTAATTAAGGTGAATACTTGAGGAACCTTTTGTTGATCTCCAGAGTTCTCTTTCTGTGCAATTTTCTCCTTTCTAGTACTCTGTCCTGCCAACTCTGGCCACTTTGCTCTCCCCAGATCTCAGCTCTGTCTTTTCAACTAAGACAACTGGGTGGGCTCTGCCTGAGTTTCCCTTCCCTACATCATAGTTTGGAACTTCTCTCAAGGCTGTAAACAGGGAACAATCATAGGGCTCACCTTAATTTTTCCCATCTCTCGGGGATTGCGGTTCTTTGTTGTTTCATGTCTAGCATCTTGAAAATCACTCTTTTGTGTATTTCATCTAGTCTTTTGATAGTTTTAGGGGTATGGGTGTGTGTGTGTGTGTGTGTGTGTGTCGGCTAGAGGGAGGAGCAATAAATCCGATCCCTGTTACTCCATCTGGCCTAAAAGCAGAAGTCTTGAATTATTTGATTTTACTGGACAATTTTTCTAATTTCTACATTTCCTCTGAACTTAATCCAAATAATGACATTTAAAAATTCAACCATGTATTAAGATTAATAAAATAATTTTTTATGAAAAGCTATTCTGATTGTAATAGTCTCAGTTGGTCCACCAATGGGGAAACATTACAAAAAAGTGGTTTATAATAACATACCAAGTGTGTAAATCAGATATTTGAGATGGGAAATTACCACTTTCTAAATAGTATACTACCATTTGGGATTCTGGAGACAAGGTGAGGAGGGGGGAGGCCAGAGACAATAAATACACTGTAAATAGAAGTATTAATACAACTTCATATAATACAAGTTGAATAATGGGGTAATTGACTTAATATGTGATTTTATTTCATATTACACAAATATTAATCAAACAGTAGTCAGGCAGATGATAAGCTGTATACGACAAATTCTCTAGAGAGGATATGAGCAGGGTTTCTCAGATTTACTGTATCTAAGAATTAACTGCAGAGTTTGTTAAAAATGCAGATTTTCAGGCCACACCCAGATTTTAATTTAGTAGGACTGGGGTGGAGTCTAGGAATCTACAAATTATTGAGCAACTCAGTGACTCTGATAAGAGCTAGAGAGATTACTATGGAGTTAAACATGTCCTTATTTCTTATTTGAACTGGATAAATGGATGATGGGTAGGACAGAATGAACACTATTAGGTGAATCAATACAGAGGCGAGAACAAGCCAAGCTTTTTTAGCCTCGCTTAAGAGGTTCAGAGTAGAAAAAGCCTGCAGTATCAAACTAAAACACCTGGGGATTAGAATCTTGAAAACATCTAGCATTTCGGAATAGGGGGATAATAAAATGAGAGTGAATTTTAAAGGAATGTTGATTTGATGGGATGAGTTGTAAAGCGGGAAAGCCAGTCAGAGGTTTAGAATAAGGTGATAAAAGTGAGCATTGAGGAAGAGTACGGACAACAGAAAATAAAACGTTAGAAGACATATTGGTAAAAAAGAGTTGAACTTCCTTTCACATACTTAAGGATAGGAAGTAATATTAAATACAATGTTAAAAATATTTATTACAAACAGAATAATAATAAAATCTCAACAATAATAAAAACAAGATGAAATAATCTTCAGCAGGTTTTCAGATGTTTACTTGGGTGAATCTTGAAACTCCACAGGAGCTCAGTAGCAGTTTGTAGTGCCTGGAAGGATTATCCAACAGTGATATTAGTTTTCTAAATTAAAACAAATTCCCCAGTCATTATAAACTAAAGACAGGCACTCCGTATCTTGTGTATGGCAGATGAAGCAATGCTTGTGTTTTGTAGCATAATTTTATTTATATTTCATTTACTATTTCAACCGATTTTGATTTATTGTTAAAGATACAAAGATTCACAGTCATGAAAGACAGAAAATCGACTCCAAAACTACAAATTAGACATTTCGGTTAAAAATGCTAAGGGCATGTTAGAGGGAATAATTCTGGTGAGGGGGAGGTAGGAGCAAAATGTCAGATGAGGCTTCAAGGAAGACGGGGTCTGAACTGGGCTTGAAGGACAGGTGGGATCTGGACATAGGGAAAATAAAGAGTACGGAAGGAGGAAGGAAAAGGCATTTTACACGGAAATCTCAGTAAGAATTTCTTTTATATCTGAAGATGTTAACAAATTTTGACAGTTCATAAAAATGAATAACTTGCTAAATGCTGTGACAGCAAATCCAAAGGAAGCTGATACTTCTACACATTTACTTGTTTCTTACCTTCTTTTAATGGGGTTTTGAGAGCAAAATTTTCTTTACTTTCATGAACAAAAGCCTTTGAAGGATCAAAGTGTTTGATGCCCAGAACTTTATTCAGTTCCTCTTGAAGTTTTCTCTCACTTTGTTTCCTTTTAGCAAGCTGAGAGCGGAGTTTTGACACCTCCTATGTCAAAAAATATAGACAATAAACAATTATTAAAGAGCGTGTCGGTGAAACGTGTTACCAATGTTACTGACAAATTCCAAAGTTGCTCAGTGGCAAAAATCACTACTAGGTACAGGCTTTAAGACAATGAACTATAAGATGGCTTTGAAGAGCTGTGACAAAGGGGACAATGAGTCATTTAAATCTTCTTGCCCCTCTACAGGTACACAGCTTTGTTTCTGATAAAAGTTCATCTCCAAATTAAATGCTGAGATCAACTTCTGGCATGAGAGCATGAGAAGCTCCGGTGAGCCGCTTCCCAGGGAAACTAAAAATTATAAAAAGGCTACCACGTAAGGCCTCTAAAAACGGTCCTAAGGCAAAACAGCCAATGAAGAAACAGCCACTCAAGCAAATCTACAAAACTGCAGTGAAAACGGCGAGGGTCTGTGGGATTTGAACCAAGCCTGCTTTCTCCCTCCCCACTCCCAGCTTAGCAAGGCGAAAACTCCAGCCAGACTGCAGCGGCCAAGAACACAGGGCTCCCTCTCCCCTCAGGAGGAGCAGGGCATCAGCATTTCTCATCTTGGCCCAGCTTCCTGTTGCTGAGGCCACGTCCCAAGCAAACAAGGTTGAAAAAACCTCAGGGTGCTCCCCAGCATCCTCTCCCTCAAGTCCACAGAGCACTCAGCTCCTAGGGCAGAGGTGTCACTCAGAAGAAAGCTTGCCATTGTCCCCAACTTGGGCTCCAGAGCCCTGCCTCAGAGATTTTACCTGGGAGGAGAAGCAGGCCATAAAACATAAAGCTCGTAATTTCTTCCCAAAGGAACTGACTTCACTTGCAACAGAGCTTGGAGAAATTAAAGCCAAAGGGCGCCCTAAATAAGGTAGAGGCTGTGGTGCAAGGGAATTGGGAGGTATTAAAAATGTAGGCTACACTGTAGACTGTCTGGTGTGTAGAAGAGAACTGGTGAATAATACAGTTAGTTGGGAGGAGCCCTTCTCGAGTCAGAACAACGTCAATCACTGACCTCAGACATAATTCCAACAAAGGAGACAGAATTTGATTGGATTAGTTTGTAGAGCAATTTATGCCTCAGGGCATTGTCGAAAGTAATAGAGCAATAAGCAACTAGGTATCCAGCAACCAGTTTAACATGCGGTCAGGGAAAGAGAGGAAGACAAAGAGAGCCTTACCAAAACCAGTGTCATCCCAGGGAGACTGGGCATACCCAAAACTGAACATCCCTAGTAGCAACACCAGAGGCACAACACTATTGCGGATGGAGAGGAGAAATAGTTTTCACTAAAAGTCTAGCCAAGGGGCCGGCCCTGCGGCCGAGTGGTTAAGTTTGTGCGCTCTGCTGCGGCAGCCCAGGGTTTCGCCAGTTTGGATCCTGGGCGCAGACATGGCACTGCTCGTCAGGCCACGTTCAGGCGGCATCCCACACGCCACAAGTAGAAGGACCTGCAACTAAGATATACAACTATGTACCAGGGGGATTTGGTGAGATAAAGCAGGAGAAAAAAAAAAGATTGGGAACAGTTGTTAGCTCAGGTGGCAATCTTAAAAACCAACCAAACAAACAAAAATCTAGCCCATTATTAAACAAACACGAAAATAACAACATACCTGGAAGGAGAGGGCAGTACACTGAGGGGCTACAAGGTATTATCTAAAATATCCACTTTCCAACAAAAATTTACAAGGTGTGCAAATAAACAGGAATGCATGACCTATACATTGGGAAAAAGCAGGGAATAAAAAATGCCTGTAAGAGTAATAAGATATTGGATTTATCCAGAAAAGATTTTAAAGTTGCCATTATGAATATGTTTACAGAACTAAAGGAACTACAAAAAGTAAGATGACTCAAATTACTAGAATCAGAAATGAAAGAAGAGACATTACTACTACTGACCTTACCAAAATAAAAAGGATTATAAAGGAATACTGTGAATAATTATATACCAACAAATCAGGTAACTTGAAAGAAGTGGACAAACTCATAAAGACACAAAACTGTCTACTGAAATTGTCTCAAGAAGAAATAGTCAATCTGAATAGGCTTATAAGAAGTGAAGGAATTGAATTAGTAATCAAAAACTACCCACAAAGACAAGCCCAAGTGCAGATGGCTTCACCACTGAATTTTACCACACATTCAATGAAGAAGTAATACCAACTATTCACAAACTATTCCAAAAAATAGAAAGGACAAAACCGTTTCCGACTCATTTTATGAGATCAGCATTATCCTGATGCCAAAACCAGACAAAGACATTACATGAAACCTACAGACTAGTATCTGTTAGGGGTATGGATGAAAAAACCCTCAACAAGTACTAGCAAAGCAAACCCAGCAACACATAAAAGGAATTATACACCATGACCAAGTAAAATTTATCAGGAATGCAAGATTGATTTAACATCCAAAAATCAACCAATGTAAGAAATCATATCAATTGAATTTTTCAAAAATCACATCATCATCTCAATAGAAACAGAAAAGGCATTGACAAAATTTAACACCCTTTCATGATAAAAACTCTAAAGAAACTAGGAATAGAAGGAAATTTCCTTAACTTGATAAAGAGCATCTACGACAAAGCCACAGCTAGTATCATATTTAATAGTAAAAGTCTGAATGCTTTTCCCCAAATCAGGAACAAAACAAAAACGTCCACTCACACCACTTCTATTCAACATTGTCATGGAGATTCTAGCCAGGGAACATGGGCAAGAAAAATAAATCAAAAGCATTTAGATTAGAAAGGAGGTAAAACTACTTCTATTTACAGATGATCTTCTATAGAGAAAATCCTAAAGAAACCACTAAAAAACTATTATGACTAATAAATGAGTCAAGCAAAGTTGCAGGACCCAAGATCAAGATACAAAAATCAACTGTATTTCTATATACTTGCAATGAACTACCCAAAAATGAAATTAAGGAAACAATTTGATTTACAATAGCCTCAAAAAAGGATAAAAGATTTAGGATTAAATTTAAGAAAAGAAGTTTAAAATATATAAAATATATACTCTGAAAATTACAAAACATTGAAGGAAATTAAAGATCTAAATAATTGGAAAAACATCACATGCTAAAAGACTTAACTATGCCCCAAACTGAGAAGATGACTTCTCTAGAAATTGAAAAGCTGATTCTAGAATTCACATGGAATTGCAAGGGACCCAGAATAGCCAAAACAATCTTGAAAAAGAGGAACAAAGTAGAGGGACGCATGCTTCCTGATTTCAAAACTTACCACCAACCAACAGTAGTCAAGACAGTGTGGTAGCACAGGATAGGTATATAGATCAATGGAATGCATTTGAGAGTCTAGAAATAAGACCATTCATTGAGGAAAAGAGTAGTCTCTTCAACAAATGGTGTGGGAACAACTGGATACCTACATGCTAAAGAATGAAGCTGGACTCTTACCTCTGGGCCTCACTCTGTATACAAAAATTCACTCAAAATGGATCAATGACCTAAATGTAAGAGCTAAAACTATAAAACTCTTAGTAATAAACATAGTGGTAAACCTTCATAACATTGAATTTGGCAAAGATTGTTAGATGCAAAAAATAAGCCACAAAGGAAAAAACAGGTATACTGGACTTCATCAAAATTTTGTGCTTCAAAGAAAATCATCAAGAAAGTGAAAAGACAATGCACAGAATGGGAGAAAATATTTTCAAATAATACATCTGATAAGGGACTAGTATGTAGAATATAAAAAGCAAGAATAAAAAGACAAAAGACAAAAAAAGACTCATAAAAAGACAAATAATCCAATTAATAAACAAGCAAAGGGGGCCAGCCCGGTGGCACAGCGCTTAAGTGTGCATGTTCCGCTTTGGTGGCCTGGGGTTCGCCGGTTCGGATCCTGGGTGAGGACATGGCACCGCTTGGCAAGCTGTGTTGTGGCAGGCGTCCCACATATAAAATAGAGGAAGATGGGCATGGATGTTAGCTCAGAGCCAGTCTTCCTCAGCAAAAAGAAGAGGATTGGCAGCAGATGTTAGCTCAGGGCTGATCTTCCTCAAAAAAAAAAAAAAAAAAAAGGTAAAAAAAAAACCAAGCAAAGGATCTGAATAGACATTTCTCCTAGGAAGATATACAAATGGCCAATAAGCACATGAAAAGATGCTCAACATTACTAGTCATCAGGGAAATGCAAGTCAAAGTCACTATTAGGTATCACTTCACATCCACTAGGATGGCTAGAATCAAGAAGTCAGAAAATAACAAGTATTGGTGAGGATGTGGAGAAATGGGAACCCTCATACATTGCTGGTAGAATGTAGAATGATATAGCTGCTTTGGAAAACAGTCCAACAGTTCCTCAAATAATTAAACAGAGAGGTACCATATGACCCGGCAATTTCCCTTCTAGGTCTAACCCAAGAGAAACAAAAACATATGTCCACACAAAAATCTGTACACGAATGCAGCATTATTCATAATTGCTTAAAGGTGGAAACAACCCAAATGTCCATCAACTGACAAATGGATAATTAAAATGTGACACATCCACACAGTGAAATATTAGGCCATAAAAAGGAATGAAGCACTGGTACATGCTACAACATGGATGAACCTTGAAAACACTGTGCTAATCGAAAGAAGCCAGTCATGAAAAACCACATATTATTTGATTCCACAAATAAGAAATGTCCAGAATCAGGAAATTTATAGAGATTGAAAGTAGATTAGTGGTTGGAGGGGCAGATGAGGAGATAGGAAGATGACAGCTAAAGGGTAAGGGGATGCTTTTTCTTTTCTTTTCTTTTTGAGGAAGATTGGCCCTGAGCTAACATTTATTGCCAATCTTCATCTTTTTGCTTGAGAAAGAGAGCTGCTGAGCTAACACCTGTGCCAATCTTCCTCTATTTTCTGTGGGATGTCACCAAAGAGTGGCTTGACAAGTGGTGCTAGGTCCACGCCCAGGATCTGAACCTGCAAACCCCAGGCCACCGAAGTGGAGCCCACAAACTTAACCACTAGGCCACCAGCCTGGTCCCAGGAGTTTCATTTTGAGGTGGCGAAAATGTTCTAAAACTGACTGTGGTGATGGTTGGCACCTATATGTGAATATACCAAAACCCAGTGAGTGGTATACTTTAAATGGGTGAATTGTATGGTACGTGAATTATATCTCAATAAAGCTGTTAAAAAAACTTTAATGCCTAACTATTTTTGAACGCTGCTTATCTATATGGTATTTAATTACATCGAGGACTTTGCTATTTTGCAAATAGAAAGGATGTGTAAAGCTTTATGAATTCTTCCAATTCCACTAGTAATTTTCAATATATTAATGAGGTAGCTGGAAAACCAGGGAACATTCATACCCATCTGATCAACACTCTAAAATAAACCCATAATTCTCAGATGGATTTTTCCCTATAAACTGTTAGTTGTTTCTGATACCAAAGTCCTTCATTTTACTTAAATGTTATCAACAAAATAAAACATACTCCGTCCCAATATCTTCAATAGAACTAATTGTATTGTTTTACAAACCGATTTGAGTTGGCTGTTTTCATCTTTCAATTTCACAACATGCTTGATTTTTTGCTTGAGATTCTGATGGCCCAATAATTTCGCATATGAATCGCTCAGTTTATTGAGCTGTTCCTGAGCTGCACCATGTTCATTCAACAAAGCCTGTTTCTCAGCTTCAAAGGCATCCAGTTGTAGCTGAAAAAGATTTTATTTTTATAAACTTAAGACTTAAAACTGTTATATCTTACTTGGTTCATATAAACTATGAAAATAAGAAAATAAAAAAACACTGGAAAAAATAGATTATGGTGATATATTCTGAGAGCTCTTCATAAATTCTCTGAGACTCTTTTAAAAGAACTGTGCATTTTTCATTTCGAAGATCACTGAAAATGACGGAATGAAACAAGGAAAGGAGAGCAGCTAGCCAGCCTAACTGTATCAGTCAGATCACCATATTACAACCAATACTGTCTTTCTATTTGATTTAAGTGCCAAGATAAGCATTTATCCTTTTTTTTCTTTAAAATTGGTGTATTAGTTTGAAAAACCACTAAGAAAGATCGCAACCAAATAAGTATCACAAATTTACATAGATTAATTATCAAAAGTTCATATCAGGTGAGCCTTCTAAGCTATTAACTTTGTCTCTTATTAGAAGGTATTTTTTAGCTTATAAAGGCCATGTTAAAAAATGTATGATAATTTAATAAAATTTGTAAGCTTTCTTTAACAGGAACTTAAATTGGCACACTAAATGCACAGCAAAATGATCTAACAGAAAAAACTAAGTCCCTGTTGTGACTGTGACAGGCAATAAAGTGAATCCTAACACAAACACAAGGACGTTTAGTCCTAACTGACAAACCTGAAAAGGTTTTGTTTTATCATATAGCTCTTCGTAAAGGAGACGCCACTTATTCATTTCCTCGGTTAATTCTGCTGTTGCGTTTTCCTTTCCAGATTTTCTGTAGGGGAAATTAAATTTAAAAACGTAGTGCATTAAAAAAAGAGTAACTTAGGAACGTGGCACTCAGGTTCTAAACCTAGATTACCTTGCTTCTTCCTCGTCCAGTTGTTTCTTAAAGTCTTCACCTTGTTGCTTGAGTTGGTTCTGCAAATCAGTGATTTTTTTAAGAGAAGAAACTGTGATTTCTTTAATTTCTGCTTCTTTAAGTGCTGATTTGGTCTGCAGATCTAGAAGCATCCTTGGGTTTGAGAGAGAACAGTCCACAAAACTCCATGTAAACATTTTACAGCCATTTTAATTATTTTTCTCCTTTTTTTTTTAAATTCAAGGAACTCTTCGAGAATTGTACCTTTTTAACTGTGTAAATTCTTAATTTGTAATGGAAGATCACCCAAAGCAAGCCACAGGACCACCATCCCTGGCATCACTTAGTGGCTGGCTTTGTTTCTCCCACTTACCTTGCATATTCTTGATTTGCGCTCTCAGTTGCCAGTATCTGACGTTGTACATCCTCTGTACTTTTCTCGGCCTTGGTCACTTTTTCCTGAAGTGATGAGTTCTCCAGCTTAAGATCTTCTATCTCACTAGCTGTTAGTGCTTTATAGCTTATTAAAAGGAAAAGTTAAAGGATTTTTCTAACTACTGTATTCATGACAAATATATAGCTGATTAGTTTATATTTTATATACATTTAAGTAAAACAAACAAAGTCTTGTAATGTATTTATGCACACACAGGTAAGAATTTAGTGTTCTGAGGTCAGTACTAATGAGCTTATATGGCAGATGCTGTTCATTCAAAGAAAAAGAAATCGAGTGCCTACTATGTGCAGGAAGTATGCATACAGAGATGGAAAAAACCTACTATCAAACACGAAAATTACTTCAAAACAAAATGGACAATCCCTGCACCTACTGTCACAGAGTTTATGGTTTTGTGGGGAAGATAGGGAGATGCCTCTCCAGGTCTTTGCAAAAAAACTGGAAAAATAAATATGGAATTAAATTTGCGATAAGTATTACGAAGGAAAACTACAGAGCACCTTAAGCTGATAGAACAGGGGGACCTAAATTTTGGTTGGTGATTTAGAAAAGGCCTTTCTGAGGAATTTATACTTAAGCTGAGACATGATGGATAAGGAGGATTTAGCTAGGCTGTTAGGAGAAAGTATTCCAGAACGAAAAGATGCATACGTGCTCAGAGGACGGTAGAATACAGTCCATTAAGAGATGAGACTGGAGCCTAATGAATAAGAGAGGCAGGAGCAGAAGCTAGAGGCAAGAGGATGGTCATCACTGCAGGGCACAATGAGTTTACCAGAGGGGTAAAGCAGAGAAAGTAAAAGTGTCTAAGGAAGTGTATGGATTACTGTGGAGATGTGGAGAATGGATTGTGGAAGGAGCAGGAATGCAAACCTGGAAGACAAATATTTATCAGCCCAGGTGAGTGATAAAGGAGGCTTGGACTAAGGAGTTGGCAATGGAAAGATGTGAGATCTTGTTTAGAGGCAGAATTGAAAAATTCAAGAAATAGATTGGATGTTGGGAGAAATGGAGAGAAAATGATCAAAGATAGCTCTAAGATTTACGGAATGAGAATCTGGGAAGATGGCAATGTCACTGACTGAGAGAAAAAATAATGAGACCAGAGGTGGAAAAGAGATAGAAAGAAAATCAAGAGTTGTTTTGGACAGGTTACTATTAGATGATAGTGAGACAACGACTTGGAGATGTCAAGTAGGCAGCTGGATGTATGGGTACGGAGCTGAGCGGAGAATTTGGTTTGAAGAAATAAATTTTAATGCCATTAGATACGGATGGTGAGTGAAGTCACAGAATGGCTAAAAACTTTGTAAAGCACTATTTTTCAAAGTAGCAAGAAGGGAAGTGTTGAAAATAGGACTAAAACATATATATTATATATTTTATCTGGTTTACATAATTTATATTTAGGCTCTGACAAATTATAATTAAGATGTATACACACATGTGTGTGTGGGTGTGTATATATGATATATGTGTCATAATATATCATATGTAGACACAGATCACTGGGGAAAGAAGGTATTATTCAATGAAGGGGCACTAGGCAGTTGGTTACTCATATGGAAAGACAACAACAAATTTGATCCCATATCACTATACACACAGAAATCAGGTCTACGTGGAAAAATGAAAAGTGAAATTTTGAAACTTTTAGAAAAAAATAAGTTACACATCTTCGGGTTCTTGGCATAGAAAGAAGTTCTTAAATGAGATGCAAAAATGTTCACATAAAAATCTCTAAATTTAACCACGTTAAAATCAAGAACTTCCATTAATCATAAGAAACCCTAAATACAATGAAAAGATAAGCCACACTATGGGAGAAGACATTTACAACTCATATTGCTGATTAAAATTCTACAAATCAATGAGGAAAAGAAAATAATCCCATAGAGAAATGAACAAAAGTCACACACAAGCCTTTTACAGAAAGGAAAGACGAATTATCCACGATAAGAAGCCATTTTACGCTTAGTTCACTAAGCAAAATTTAAGCTGACAAGCTTTGGAAAGGAAACAGATCAATGAAAACTAACATCACTAGTGGGAGAGTAGTGTCTCACCCCTACTTTGTAAAGTGATTTGGCATTAAATTTTAAAGTTGAAATTCATACACCTATGACTTTAGAGTAATTCTTACAGGTGTATACTAGAAGACTATAAGAATATTCATAATAACAAAAGAAATGTTTTGGGAAACAACTGAAAAGCCCAAAGTGAGAAAGGATAAATAAATTGTGGTATATTAATAAAATCAAATATTCTACAGCAGTTACCATAAACAGACTACAGCCTCAGTCAACAAAGTGATTCAATCCTAGAAACATACATAATGTAGAATAAAAAGAGAAATCTCAGGAAATGGCTTAAATTATGATGATATTTTTTGATGAAGTTCAGGGAAAAGCAGAATTAGATATTATTTGTATGGATATACATGTCATAAAATTATACACGGAAAAAAGCGAGGAAATAATGAACGTCAGCTTTGAGATGGAGTTATCTGTTGGGGGAAGGCATGACAATGGTCTAGTGGGAGGAATGCATGCATAGAGACCAAGTTGTTGAAAATCTTTTGGCTTATTGGTTGCCTTTTATGGGCTCATGCATGTAGATTTTATCTTTTTGCTCTATCATTTACGTACACGTTGTAGATCTGTAGATAAAAGAAAAAGAGACCTCCCCCAAAATGTTCTAAGGTAAATATGATAAATAAAAACATTAACATTACAGGGCCGGCCCAGTAGCCCAGAGGTTAAGTTTGGCATGCATTGCTTCGATAGCCCAGGTTCATGGGTTCGGATCTCGGGCGTGGACCTACACCACTTGTCAGCCATGCTGTGGCAGAGACTCACATACAAAATAGAGGAAGGCTGGCAACAGGTGTTAGCTCAGGGCCAACCTTCCTCAGCAAAAAAAACCTTAACATTAATATACTCACAGTATGACATGCATAGGTATTTGTTTTATTATCCTTTGCAATTTGTAGTTCCCCCCAAAATAAACTTTTATTTTTAAAAGGGAAAATAACGAGTAGTGGGAAAGGGAAATTTCTATATATAGTAAGATTACCAGGTAACACTAAATGCCCATTTATGGTTGGTCGTTATGGAATTTAAATTAATACCAACCCTTCTATTTGTGTGATTGTTTTTTCACAGATTTCCCTAGGTAAACACCCCTCCCTGCTCATACTATATTTGAGAGTGCAGGCTCCCACTTAAAATACCTTTCAAACTGAGCAGTAACATCTCCGAGGTTTTGCATTGCACTATCATATTTCTCCTGCAAAAGCAGGGTGGCCTGAGTGTGAGCAGCCTTATTTTCCTCCAGTTCAGCTTCCTTCCTAAGAAAAAGGAACAATTAAAAGATAAAACACTAATTACAAATCATTATCCCAAGAAAGATATCAGTATTTATCTTTGACACTGTGAAAACAGTATCCCATATCTTCATCTTTGCATAAACTACTGGCTAGCTTAGATGTAAATTTATGACCTACCTCTACTAGTATGTTTATTTATGTACTAACTCTTCTTCTGGTTTCATCTTATCTTTCCTGCTCTTTTACTTGTTTTCATCCTAATTTACTTATGTCCAAATTTATCTTTTGATATTATATATATTTATGTAGGTAAACATTTTTTTGGAAGAAGGTAGGGTAACTCTAAAACAGAATCTTAACAGCAGCAGCCAAGACTAGAGAATGTGAAGGATTCCCAGTGAAAAAGCCCTTGGATTGAATAAAGTTTAATTCTCTGTATTTAAACATTTAAGAAATACTAAGTACAGTTAAAGACACTTCATTTTAAAAGTTCTTTTAAAAAAAGAGTTTATAGGACTATGTAGATTTATTTTGATTATATCAATAATCCACATAATAAACTATTATTCAAATTATTATTTTGATTGGTCAATAACTCAATTTATTTAGTGGGTTATTTTGCATAGACAGAATAGCTTCTAAGTCATCTTTACAAATACGTACCACAAATCTCAGAGATTTTTGAGATGTTCATATCATATATTACCAAAATGGTGACAAAAATTTTTAGATAAGCATATGAGCTCATAAGAGATCTTTTAAAAAATATACAGAACTAAAAACTATAAATAAGAAGCATTATTCGCTTACAGACAAAGTCAGACACTGAGACAAGATAAACAGCTGATCAAATAAATTCTGTAAAAAGTATGGGATTTTAAAATACAGTCATGCAATGCTTAGTAAGGGGATATGTTCTGAGAAATGTGTTGTTATGCAATTTCATTGTTATACAAACATCACAGAGTGTACTGAAGGGGAATAAAATCTGTCACCCCAAAATATGTCTCTTTGATATAAGAAATATTTTAGACAGATTATTTCTAAGAAACTTGAGGCTGAGTGGTTAAGTTCACATGTTCCGCTTCGGCAGCCCAGGGTTTCGCCGGTTGGGATCCTGGATGCGGACACGGCACTGCTCATTAGGCCATGTTGAGGTGGCGTCCCACATGCCACAGCTAGAAGGACCCACAACTAAAATATACAACTATGTATTGGGGGGATTTGCAGAGAAAAAAAAAGCAGAAAGGAAAAAAAAATAAAAAAGAAACAAAAGACTCAGAAAGTTTTTCTTGTTACCTCCCCCTTAACTGCCTAAAAGAATTCAGATAAAAAAAACTGTCTCAGGAAGTGAGCTATCATCTTAGCATAACATGAACAAGGTGTAGACAGAGAGGAACCAAGAAAAGCTGGTTTGTTGGGCTCCTCTCTGTGTTCTTCTGTTTCTCTGTGGCCAAACACTTGTTTTCCAAATGTTTGCTCCTTTTCGCCTACCTATAAATTGCTTCTCTTCCCTTTGGAGACCCACTCTCCCCACCCCAACATCTTCTTTTGTCTTTAGCTGAGGACGGTATTTAAGGTGAGGGTTTCCATCACTCTGCTGAGTTACTGGGCTTTCCTGGGTTTCACCCATGTATACATGCTACTAAACTTTTGTTTTTCTCCAGTTAATCTGTCTCATGCAATTTAATTCTTGGACCAGGCAGAAGAACCTAGAAGAGTAGAGGAAAATTTCTTCCTCCTCTACAGTACTTACACAAACCTAGATGGTATAGCCTACTACACACCTACCCTATATTGTACTAATCTTATGGGGCCACTGTCCTATATGCAGTCTGTTGTTGATGGAGACATTGTTATGTGGGGCATGACTGCATACACACCACAAATACACGTCACACCACTAAAAGCAGTCAAGTATTACTAAATGGTTTATGATAAAAGTACTCTCTTCCTTGCCCCCTAGAGGAATCACTTTCAATTCTCTCAGTTTCTCTCTTAAGCCTTCAGGATGGAAGGGACCTCAGAAAACATCTCATAAAACTCCTTTATTTTGTATCTAATGAAGTAGAAAATTAAAGAAATTAAGATTGTCTTGCTTAGAATCACACAGCTAATTAACAGATCTAGCAATAAAATCCTTATCACCTGACCTCTGGACCAAGTTCTTTGAGTTAGAATAAACGATGGTCTCAACTTTCTTTTCTCATGAAACTGACATCATCTACTCCGTTTTTTTAAAGTGCCTGTTCCCTGGGACTGGCTGCAAAACAGAACAATCCCCCTATTACACTTTGGCACTGTTCCCAAAAAAGCAGGCACATCTAAGGCCTTGGAGTTCTTTTCATCACTTATCACCACAAGCAAACAGAAAAGGGATTAATAGCAAAAACATTCAACTCAACAAGAGATAGACACACAGTTGGGAATTCTGTAGGCTAAGGTCTACTCCATGGTTCCTTGCTAGAAAATTTTTTAGTGATGAAACCCCACAGATTTAAATAACATAATTATTTTATTTGCAATTTGAATTCAAGAATCAACCTGGCTATTTTAAGTAAATGGAGTAGAGAAGGACTCATAACGTGATGAAAATAACATGAAATTAGAGCAAAAAAGAGCACGAGATCTCAGTCTTTCTACTTTTAATGATAAATCCCTTATTTTTTTAGTGTTTCCCAGTTCTGGTTGTTTTTTGCCATTTTGCTTTTTTGATTGCTATTTCTGAAGTGTTTGTGTTCCCTCAAAAAAATTAATTAAAAGTATAGATTTTACTATGTAAAACTGATGAACATATACACAAAAAAAGAAAATGTTTCTTATTAAAAGGTGGGGTTCTTGTTTTTCTGGGTTTTTTTCCTAAATTCATTATTACTGCAATGCTGATATCCAATAATTTTTATAAGAGTAGTAAAGGAACCCCAAATTTTGGTCATCTGTTGTTAAAAATCTCTTTAATTAAATCTCTAACCTTAAAAAAAGGAAGGGCATGGTTTCCAGCTTTGGCTGACACACGTTTTTATGTACATCCTATGTATGTACTTTACCTTTCTGTGTCTATTTCTTATTTGTAAAATAATTCTAACCTTAACCACTCATATGATTGATGTGAGAATTCTGAGAATGTACTGAAGTCATATATAAACATGAGGTCTTACTAATACAAACCCTTTCAGCTTTTCTTCTAGAAGTTTTAGCTCTTCAGCTCTGGATTTTGTTTCCTCTTCCAGCTGCTTGACCAGCCTTTCAGCTTGTTCCTCTTTTTGCTGTAATTTGTCTAGCTCACCCAGTGCTTGCTTTAATTCCTCCTCAAAGAGATTCCTCTCTTTAATCATCTCCTCTTGAAAAGAACATAGCTTCTGCTGAAGACTAGAAGATAATTCCTACATCCAAACGAAAACCATCAAAATAATTTGAAAGGTTTCAATAATTTAATAATTTGTGAAGTTTTACTAAGGACAAAAAGAAGTACAGACAATGAAGTATAAAAACTAAATTCAGGAGTCTCAAGGAAACTTGAAAAATATAGATATTATACTCATTTTGTCATGGATCATATCCTACATCTTGTTAACACTGGCAAATGTTATTTCAATCTTTTTTCTATGCAACAGATATACATACTTTTTGTAAAACTAGAATATTTTACAGCTGACTTTTATGATATATTTTTCTCATATGATATTACACAAAAAGGGTACTGTGATTTCAATGCTATATAAATACATTTTACAGTTATATAATACACAAATAAATCACCATTGTAAAAAAATTCTAACATTACAAATAAAGTGGAAATTGCCTTTTTTAAAAATTTTTTTTATTGTGGTCTAAATAGTTTGTAACATTGTGAAATTTCAGTTGTACATTAATCTTTGTCAAACACCATATAACTGTGCCCCTGCACCCCTGTGCCCATCTCCCCCCGCTTCCTCTTGGTGGAAATTGCCTTTTGACTACTCCTCACTCCAACCTCAGTTTTCCCATTCCAGAGAAAACCACTAGTTTGGCATATACGCCTTCTCATCTTTTTGTATACATTTAAAAAATATAAATGATAAATTCTCTATATATGTAAGGGTCATTTAAAAAGATCATAAAATAGTTGAGATATTTTCAAGCCAGTATATACAGATTTATTCAATGTCTTTAGTTGTTACAGGTTGCTCAACAATATTTCATGAGTACATGTGAGTACTTATTTGCCCAACTCTCACTGTTATATTATCGAATGTTTTAATTTCTGCCAATCTTATAAGTGAAAAACAAATTATTTCCATCCCTGATTACTACTGAGGTAGAACATCGTTTCATGTTTACAGGTTGTCTGAATTTCTACTTCTGAGAACTATCGATTTCCATAGTATGCCCATTTTTTAATTGGACTGTCTTTTCTCATTGATATGTAAAATGTTCTTTATGTAATCTAGATTTTAAAAAAAGTCAGTTTTGTTTCTTGTGTAACTAGACAGCCTTACAGTAACCTAACACAAGAATATGCTGGAAAAAAATTTTTTTTTTTGCAATTTTTTTCCCTAAAGATTGGCACCTGAGCTAACAACTGTTGCCAATCTTTTCTTTTTTTTTCTTTTCTCCCCCAATCTCCACAGTACATAGATGTATATTTTAGTTGTGGGTCCTTCTAGTTGTGGCATGTGGGATGCTGCCTCAACGTGGCCTGACGAGTGGTGCCATGTCTGCGCCCCGGATCCAAACCGACAAAACCCTGGGTCCCGAAGCAGAGGGTGAGAACTTAACCATCAGGCCATGGGGTCGACCCCTGGAAAAAATTTTTAAATGATTTACTATTTTGTTTCATCTGTTGTTTGTAATTTTTTCACATTATCAATAACCCTGTGGTGAACATCTTTGGAGCTATATCTGTAGCATAGCCATAATAATTTCTTCAGGATACGACTCTAAAAGCAGAATTGTTGGATTAAAGAATATATACAATTTAAAGGTTTGCTGGTACAGAGGAAAATATATGACATAAAAGAAGCACTATTTTTTTTTGGTATTGTAGTAAACTACCTTCTCTTGCTGCAGAAGTGAATCAACTTGCAACTCTTTTTGTTGTAGCTTCTCACGTTCTTGTTTTTCAAGAGTAAACTTCTCTTTTAAGGTTTGTATTTCAGAGTTTAGATTTTCGTCCCAATCTCTATGCCTGTTCATGAGGTCTTCTACAAAAGGAAAAACATTAAAAATGCTGTTATTGGATAGTAATATTAACTTTGAGAACTCACATTCCCATTACATTCCATTACACTGCTTTATTGCTTTTAGCATATTACACAGATGAAGTATTTCCAAAGGCGGGGAAAAGCAAAACAAACACAAAACACAACTCTGAAGTTTGTATCATTACTATATATAATATAGTACACATTACATGCCATATAATAAAATCCCCAAACCTAGTTCTATGTATCTACCAAATTTAAATGGCCACCCAATGGGCAAGTCAAGAACTGCCCAAATGTATATATTTCACATATTCCAACTGCGACAGGCAATATGTTGAAATTAACAGAGAACAAACATTATAAAAGACAAAATCTCTCATACATACAACAGGGTTTTTTTGGTGTTGTTTATATAATTTTTTTTAAAACAAATTGTTTTAGGGGCCGGCTCTGTTGCCGAGTGGTTAAGTTCGAGTGCTCCGCTGTGGCGGCCCAGGGTTTGGATCCTGGGTGCGGACATGGCACCGCTTGTCAGGCCACGTTGAGGAGGCGTCCCACATCCCACAACTAGAAGGACCTGCAACTAAGATATACAACCAGGTACTGGGGGAGGGTTGGGGAGATAAAGCAGAAAAAAAAAAAAAGATTGGCAACAGCTGTTAGCCCAGGTGCCAATCCTTAAAAAAACAAAGATTGGCAACAGTTGTTAGCTCAGGTGCCAATCTTTAAAAAAAAAATTGTTTTAACATGGCAGTACTTTTCTTAAATATTGTAGATAGTACTTATGTGAAGAAAGTAATACCATAAGCAGCACAGTACCTTTTTCTTTTTCAAGCAGCTGACATTTAGCATTGAGGTCTTCTACTTGTTTAGACAACACACCATTTTCCTCAAGAGACTGCTTAAGGCTTAAAACTTCATGATTCTTCTCTTTCAAATTTTCTTCTAACTGGGCAATATCTAGCTTGTATTTTTCCACTTGATCTGATGCACAACTGCATTAAAACAAATTACTTTGAAGAGCACATCTATTTAGGCATAGGGAAAATTAACCAAAAAATGATAAAAATGATATATTAATCACTATTCAACAAAGTAAAAGTTCAATTTAAAATTACTGTTCATATTACCTAATTTCTTCGATGTATTCTAAGAGTTTTTCTGTTTCAGATTTTTCAGTCTTTTCCTTCTCTATTGAAACACTAAAAAAAAAATTGCGCATATTAAAACATACTAATTTATTTACTTAATAATCACATATAATGCTTACTTTGTACCAGACACTGATGTATGACGCAGGCTGAGTCTAGAGTCCAAACTATTAACCATTATTTTATGTGGCCTCTTAAGTTGATAGGAAACTGAAGTTTTCTTTTAAGTGAGAAAGCTTTCCAAATATATTCTGATAAAAGGGCTGCGATGGTGAGAGTCATCATCTATAACACTCCAAGTGTTAGAAATAATCTTTTTCGTAGCTTTTCTGATTTCCCCAGCCATCACACTTACAAAATAGCATTTTGTGTGCTACAAAGCCTTTGTTCTAGGCTGCCTTGATTCAATTACTTATTCATTTACCTCTAACAACTCAATCTACGAAATGGGCAAGAGACGTACAGACACCTTACAAAAGGATATATATGAATGGTCAATTATCACATAAAGAGATGCTCACCATTTATAGTAACAAATTAAAATCAGAAATGAGGTACTACTTCATACCTACTAGAAAGGCCAAAATCAAATAGACTGACATCAAATGTTGGTGAGGACGTGGAACAAATGGAACTATTATACACTGCTAAATGGAGTGTAAAATGGTACAACCACTTTGAGTCTTTTAATACCTTATACATACACTACCCTATGACTCAGGATTCCACTCCTAGGTATTTACACAAGAGAAATAAAAACATGTCCACAAAAAGATACACAACACGGGGCCGGCCCTGTGGCCAAGTGGTTAAGTTTGCGTGCTCTGCTTCCACGGCCCAGGGTTTCACTGGTTCGGATCCTGGGCATGGACCCAGCGCTGCTCATCAAGCCATGCTGAGGTGGCGTCCCACATAGCAGAGCCAGAAGGACTCACAACTAGAATACACAACTATGTACTGGGGGTCTTTGAGGAGAAGAAGAAGAAGAAAAAAAAGGATTGGCAACAGATGTTAGCTCAGGGCCAATCTTTAGGAAAAAAAGACATATAACATGTTCACAGCAGTCTCATTCGTAACAGTCAGAAACTGGAAACCCATATATTGATCAACAGGAGAATAATAAACAAAGAGGTATATTCATATACTGAAATACTACTCAGAAATACAAAGGAACAAATTATAATACACACAACAGTATGGATGAATCTCAAAAAAATACAGTAAACAAAAGAAGCCACACACACACACACACACACACACACACACACACACACACACTGTGATAAACACACCTAAAAAGACAAAGCCAATTTATGATAATGGAAATCAGAAAGTGATTGCAGGGGTGGGGGCATTACATGGGGAGGAGCAGGGGAGTAGGAAAGGGCATGAAGTAACTCTTTGAGGAGACGGTAACATTCTCTATTTTGTTTGGGTGGTGATTGCAAAGGTGTGTGCAATTGTCAAAGTCATCAAACTGAATACTTATGATCTGTGCATTTTATTGTATGTAAATTACAGCTCAGTATCAAAAAGAAGCCTAGGATTATGCATGAATCACAGCTTCCTATACCAATGTTTCTCAGTTTTGGTCTACTACCTCCATAAGATTATGCTATTAGAAAGACTATGAGGCCTTTCCTCATCATTGATACAGAAGATGTACAAAAGTAAAACATTCCTACATCTTTTCAGCATAAAATGGGGATGATTAGGGCTCTACTGCCACTTAGGAAGAGAAATACGGCAATTGGAGGCCATGAGCTAAGTATTGAGGGAAGGTTAAAGTCTCAGTAAACAGTAACTAGCTGAGTGAAGGGCCTGGGCCTTGCTTGCTCAGCAGAAGTCCCCAAGCCCATTGCAACCATGTGACCTTCTGGTTCCCTTCTAGGCAGGATGCCCAGCTGCTGGGATTTGTAGCAATCCAGGGCCTGGCCCAGATTCAACCTTACCTCACCTAAAGAACATCGCGTCTTAAAGGGACACAGAGCCCCTCCACGTGAGCTACTCTTCCTGGGAATGCAGGTTGTACCAAGGACAGCCCCTTGGCAAGCATACAGTCTTTGTGTCCCCCGCCTATATAAGAAACTCCCTCCCCACCTGTGGTTGCAGGTACACATTGCTGTCCAGCTGCCCATTACTGGACCTCCTTGTAACTAACTCCCAATAAGCCTACCTGTCTTGTCAGCTGACTCTGGGTCTTTTCTTTGACCTCTCCACAACCTATCCCACACTGCTCACCCAACTGGGCATGTGGCAGAACACACAGTAAGTCAGCCAGGACACTAAAGAAACACCTGTGAGCACTGAGACTATGGGGGATAGGAAGGGGAAATCCGCAGGGGAAATCCTGGGTTGGCTGATGTCTTCCCTGTGGGAGCTGGTCACCATCATACTTGATGGATGGGGCCCACTGCGTGAGTACGGGGACACCCTGAAAATGCCAAAGGGCCTAGGGGAAGTCCTGGTCTTGAGAAATGTAGAAAAAAAACCTCAGAAGCCCAGGCCATTGCTACAGCTGTGGGGTGGCCCCTCCTCACTGTAGGATGGCTTTCAATGAAGGCACGGAAAGTCCTGGGCAAGATAGATGTAGGGAAGAAGTCAGAAGCCCAGGTGGTAGCTGCACTGTTTGGGTGGCCCCTCCTCACTGTGGTAAGGCTCACAACAGAAGCTGAGATGGAAGCAAGAGCCAAAGTGAGGCAGCTACAAGAGAAACTGAAGTTAGAAAGAAAGGTTCAACTCACTCAACCCAAGACAACCGAGGCGCTCTTGACACACCTACAGAGTCTGATGAGAAAATAGAGATCTTAGCCTGCTGTTTTGCTAAGATCAAGGGACGACTGGTGGAACTGGGAAACAAATTCAGGCAGAAGGGGAGAGAAAGCATCCTGGGGTGGCTTTTCTGTCTCTGGAATACTGGATCAGAAGGCATTTTGCTGTCAGGGACGGAAATGAGCAAAATGGCGTCCATCACTTCTCCTCCCACCCTGTGGCAAGGCCTCTATAGTGCCACCTGGTGGACAAACCCCCCAGTGTTGCCTTGTGCCATTAAATTGATGATGTCACGTTAACCTCTCAGTCTTTTTCAGACCTCCAGGAAGCCTCCTGCTCCTTTGTCACAGTGCATGACAACAAATTGCAAGGGTGGGTTGTCTGTCAAACACTTGGGTGTTGTCTGGTTGGGTAAGACAAAAGTGGTTCCTGCTGCTGTTATAGATAAGATACAGGCTGCCTGTCCTCTTTATAAGTTGGTGTGAAAGAGTGCTATCTGGGACTGAGAGACCACCAAGCAGGAGGCCTGCACCCAAGCCAAAGTAGCAGTAAAACAAATCCAGTCCTGGGGTGTTTTAACACAAGAACAACCATGTAAATTGGACATTTGCAGTTATTCAGAGGGGTTCAGATGGGGTCCCTCACAGAGGCAAGGTAATAAACAAGTGTCCCTTGGTTTCTGGTCTCAATTGTGGAAAGGGACTGAAAACCGATATAGCGCCCTGGAACAATTGTGTGCTGCTTACCTGGCCCTCCAGCAGGTGGAGCCCATAACCCGTTCCCTGCTGGTAACAGTCTGTACTTATCTGCCCACTGTGGAGTGGCTGCAGAACGCTTTCCAAAAGCCCCACTCAGCAACAGCCCAAACAGAGACAGTGGCAAAATGGCATGCATACTTATGACAACGAGGGACCCTCACCAGTAGTCCCTTATGTGCAAAACTGCATGCCATCCTGGGGCCAGTAATATACACGACAGAGGAAACAACGCCGTTAGATGAGGAAACCCTGCCAAATGTTTGGGAAGGAAAAGAATCAATCCCGGCAGAGGCCTGGTATACTCTTGTCCAGATGGCTCCACAAGGGACAACCTCCCCCTAGTGGACAGCAGTGGCTATCCAGCCTTCGACTGCCAGTATGTGGTTGGACTGTGGCTCTGGGTTCGGTAGTCAATGGGCCGAATTGTGGGCTGCCTGGATGGTGCTGTCTCGTGAGCCCGATCCAATGTGTCCGTGCATGGACAGGTGGGCAGTCTACAAGGGGCTCATCCTGCAGATGGCACAATGGGTATGACAAAAGTGGACTATTAAAGGTCACCTGTTGTGGGGGGCAGAACTCTGGGATGGTATCTGGCAGTGGGTTCAGGGAACGACAATAACAGCATACCATGTGTCTGCACATCAGGCGACAATGCCACCAGGAAACCAGCAAGCAGAAGAGTTAGCTCAGATCTGTCTCCTAGAAGAAGTGCCAGCCAAAACAGTGGTAGAACGACTACATAAGAAGACTGGACACAAAGGATAAAGGACTCTATGGGCTATTGCCAAGGCCTGGGGCCTCCTACTATGTTATGCTGATATTGTGCAGGTCTGTCAGGCATGCCCTTCTTGTTCCTTGCAGAGACCCTGGGCCATTCCCCAAGACACAGGCCAAATCACCAGAGGCAACCAGGCCGCTCAACTCTGGCAGTTGGACTACATCGGGCCTTGCCTCTTTCTGATGGCTGCCGGTATGCTTCACTTGTGTGAACACGTAAACAGAACTGCTACAGGCATATCATAGCAAGAGGACCACACAAAAGATCACTATAAGAGGCCTGGAACACCTCTGCGCTGTGTATGGTGTTCCTACGGACACTGACATTGTATTGGATACCAGGTACAGACGTGGGATGATCAAATGGACACACATTGGCATTTTCACCCGCCATACAACCCCATGACTACAGGACTGGTGGAACAAATGAACGACTTGCTGAAACAACAACTGAGGACAGAAGACAGGAGCATAGCCCATTGGACAGGATGCCTGACGACTGCAATACGTCAACCGAATGAATGTGAAAGGCACATCCAACCCAGCACATATCAGATGTTGACACAAGGACCTGATGACAGTACATCTACAGACAGAAGCTACTCAAGGAGACAAACTACAACCACAGATAGGCACTCAGAACAGTTTGCTTTTGCCTTCGTGACAAGAACTTCCTACCGGGACCCATGTGGTCACTGGGTCCTGGGACTGGCAGGTGGGGCCCCTCTGGTGTGGTTTCTTAGACCCTTGGGGAATAAGCTTAGGAGGATATCACAGTAATACGCTTCACGGTGGGGAGGCCACCTAAAACCTCCTAACTTACTAATCCAGGGCCTGCAGTTCCCCAAGGTACGTTCTTCCTTTCCCTCTGGTGTGTTACTGTTCTGCCCTTATCCTATACCACTGCAACCACATGAGTCTTGTTGGACGGTCATGACCTCCTTGTTTTAGTTCCCTCTAAACAGCTTACTTTCATCCTTAGGAGAATGTTTGCCAACCTTTTCGCTGTTTGGGCATGCACTGTTGCAGAAATACAAAATCGCTCCAACTGCTGGGTATGCAGCGAGCTGCCTCTCTTCTACCATGGTGTCTCCAAGCTGCCAATGCCTCTGACTGTAGAGCATGCGAGAGTGGAGGAACGCGCCCCTACTTTCCCATTTCTACTCCCCTCCCGCCAAGTAACCTGTCCTCGCCATCTTATGCTGCCTCTTGCAAGTATATCTCTCAGCTTGTGTGTGAGGAGGTTAACACAACCCCAAAGGCAAGGTACTTTGTGTTTGATGGTGTAGGATGGTTAACTGCTGCACAAGTAGAATTAAGAGATTCCCTTCCCTGGTGCCTTGAACATCACAATAACTCTGCACCACCAAATGAAAATATTTAAAAAATGTAGGGTGGACACCTAAAGCAATGTGTAACCAAACAATTATCATCACTGCTGATATGAGGCTGAGAAAACAAGACATCCCCATCGGAGGAGCCTATGCCTCTCCTCGGGGGTGCTTGTGGGCTTGTGGTGCTCACAGCTGGCCCTATCTGCCTTATAATTGGACCACAAGATGTACATGGGGCGCCCCTACATCTCTGCATGCATCCTACCTTCCCTTCAACAGCTTCCCTCTAACTGGGAGGCAGTCTGAGGACGCCATTGTGTGTGACTCGCTGCACAGTGGTTTTACTCCCTTGCTATCTTTTCCCCACCAGCTGCAGCTATTGCTGTAGGATGGCAAGTGTCTTCTCTAGCCCAACATGTGGCAACAGCCCTGATAACACCAGACAGGCCGTAATGCTTTTGAATGAGGAAACATCCCAAATGAGACGAGTGGTGTTGCAAAATAGGATGGCTCTGGACATGCTCACTGCTGCCCAAGGAGGGACCTGGGCTCTGATAAAGGTAGAATGCTGTATCTATATCCTTGACTATGCTCATAACATTTCTTCTGCAATGGCTTCTTATATACCCATACACAGGCTACTGATGCCGTGTCCACTGATCTGGTCTTTGCTTGGATTCAATCCCTCCCCTCAATCCGGCAAAAGGTATTCTTTGGCATTCTCGCCTTCTTATTGTTGATTTTGTTCTCTTGCTGTGCTCTCTGTTCCTGTTGTGGTATCTGGTCACGATGCTCCTCTATGTGTCTGGCTCAAGGGACTCCGCGGAAGAATGACATAATAAGATTGTGAGGGCCATTCAGACACATGGAGGGTAGGGTGTGGGGCCTGGGCCTTGCACGCTCAGTGAAAGCCCACCAGCCCATTGCAACCATGTGTGCTTCTCACTCCCTCTGGGCAGGAGGCCCAGCTGCTGGGATTTGTAACAATGCAGGGCCTGGCCAGCCAGGACCCTACCTTATCTCACTTAAAGAACATCGTGTCTTAAGGGGACACAGAGCCCCTCCACGTGAGCTACTCTTCCTGGGAATGCAGGTCGTACCAAGGACAGCCCCTTGGCAAACATATAGCCTTGGTGTCCCCCGCCTATATAAGAAACCCCCTCTCCACCCACACTTGCGGGTACACATTGCTGTCCAGCTGGCCGTCACTGGACCTTCCTGTAAGTAACTCCCAATGAACTTATATGTCTCGTTCGCCAACTCTGGGTCTTTTCTTTGGTCTCTCTGCAACCTGTCGCACACTGCTCACCCAAGTGGGCGTGTGGTGGAACAGTGAGAGAGGTAAATCAAGAATTGGTCATACTAAGTCATTTCTCTTTCTTTTTAGTCACTCACAGTTTCCCCTCAAGTTGCGCGATTTTCCCCTGAGACTCTTCGAGATTCTTCTGGGTGACCTGCAGCTTCACTTCCATACCTTCTTGTTTAGCCATCATACTCTACACAACAGAAATATGTTTTAGGAAAGGAGAAATTGTTCAGATCCCCACATCCAGACACAGCAAACTGAGCAGAGGTATCACTCACCTTCATCTTTGTTTCTCTTCTGTTTTTAAGTTTCATCAACTCGAGGCTTAGAATTCTCATATTCTTCTGGTTACCATCTTCAGAAAACTAAGTACAGCCGATACATAGAAATGTCAGAAATATTTTCCGCTAAGTCATATACAAAATCACTTAAATATTGATTATTCTATCTACAATTGGGACTATTATTTACCTACAATATACTGTGGTAGAGAAAACAGCTTCTGATCAACACAAGGATTACTGGTTTTACACTACTGTTGTTGTCCCTCCTTTCCTTAACATGACTTTCTGGTTTATTTTTGAAAGTAGTTTGGATGGTCACTGACGTCTATATGCCGGAAAGTCCATGGCAAGGCTCTAAAACAAGCCTCTTGGAGAGGAGTTCATAAAGTATGTATGCTTAACAGAAAGTATCTGAATTGCCTGGTCTGCTTTGAAATATGCAGACAATAGGGTCCATCCCTGGCATACTAAATGACAATCTCCCTGGGTGGGGCCCAGAAATCTGCTTCCTTCTTCACGCTTGACTCCTATACACCCTCACACCCTTTGTAAGCAAAGAGCCCAGCACATTACAGGCCCTGAAAAAATGACTCCTATTAAATTAAATAGAGATTTACAGCCTCGCTCTACTTCTGTAAGAAGCAAGGTGACCATGTTCTTTAAGATCTATTAGTATATTAATACTGATAAACACAATTTATCTATTAAACACATTTAAGGCCACAAATTTATTCATTTCCCACTTCATTCCCAAAAGGATTGGAAATGGAAGCCCGCTATTATGCTATTATTTCAGAGAAAGATCTTTAAAGTGACTTCTGGATGTAAATTCTGCAACTCTTATGAACGGTCTTATTTACTGAGGGTGACTTTGAAGAAGGGTGAGAAAACGTCAGACATTAAAACAAAAAGTAACTTGTTTGTTTATAACCTCTTATGTGCCAGGTGCCATAATAAAAAAGATGCTATAATAATTCCTATTGGAAGCAGCTTAATATTTAAGACACATTTAGTGAAGGAAAAGGATTAAAGTAGAGCCTAAAATTCCCTAACAACTATATGAGAAAAAACAAGTTGACTATTTATTCAATTGTCTATTTGTACATTATCGAATCGTATATTGGAGTACTATTTATTCAATTATCATGAGGCTCAGATACCTTAGCTTTTAGTAGCTCATTAGTCTTGGTTAATTCAATCAGCTGTTTCTCTAGGGAAGCGTTACTTGCAGAGAGAGATGTTTTTTCCCTGACTGCAGCATTCAGCTTTGCTTCCATCCTCTCCACCTCAGCTTCCAGATCCTGGATCCGCTTGTCCTGAACACCACGTTCCTGAACAAGAACACGAATCTGGATGGAAACAAGATGATAAATGAATGATTCACTGACACAATGCCAATGCAACTAGATGCTACTGACACTTAAAATACTAAACGTCTAGAAAAACCTCTGATTTTGACATAATGCTCTTAGATATTCTAATTTCACTAGCTGTTTCAACAATCATATTTACTTTATGAGACATCTTAAAAATCTGTATGCATTTTAAGAAGAGAGGATTTTAATTGCCATAAACTTCCAGGTGCAATTAACTGTTTATTCACTTTTAAGATATTTCTACCTGTAAGAGTTCCTCTCTTTAGTTCTGATTACATGAATTTAAAACTATAGTTTGAAATGCTAAATATCTTTTTTTATTTCAAGAAGGCAGAGCTGGGCTTCAGGGTAGGATGTAGCAGGCATCAGCAAACTATCATTCCTGCTGTGATTACTGGATAAAAACCAAAACCAAAATCAAAATCACATATTTGTTAATAGAAAACGTGGAAGCCAAAAGACAATGAAATGACAAATGTCTTTAAAATGTGGGGGGTGAAATCTCCCAATCTAAAATTCTATTCCCGATGAAAATATCCTTTAAATATGAAGGTGACATACAAATGTTTTCAGAGAAAAAAAAGCTGAGAGTATTTGTCAACAGTAGGCCTGCACAACAAGAAATACTAAAGGAAGTTCTTTAGGCTGAAGGAAAGTAATCCCAGACGTTTACAAGATATGCACTTAAATATAAGGACATAGATAGATCGACAATAAAGGGATCAGAAAACGGTTACCATATAATTACTAAACAAAAGAAAAATGGTATGGCTATGTTAATACCATACAAAGTAGACTTTTAGGCAAAAAGTGTCACTAGTGATAAAGGGGCAATTTTATGACAAAAAAGTCATTTCAAGAGGAAGACAATCTTAAATTTGCTGTGCAGGTAATATCATAACTTCAAAATATACAAAGCAAAAACTGACAGAACTGAAAAGAGAAACAGACTGATCCACTGAGCTGGAAATTCAGAAGTACTTCTCTTAGTAACTAACAGAATAAGCAAACAAAAACATCAGCACAAATAAAGATTTGAACAAAACTATTAACCAACCTAAACTAGTTGACACATGTAGACCACTATACCCAACAAGTGAATATACATTCTTGTCTAGTACACATAGAACATCCACCAAAACAGACTATTTAATGGGTAAAAAGCAAGTATCAAGAAAGCAGAGCTATATTAAGTCAAATGTAAAGTATTTTCTACTGTTCCTGGCTTTGTATTCATACCAATCTCCGTATTTCAAGCTAACACTGCTTAACTGAAAATGTATCAAGCATCATTTACATGTAAAGCTGTGAACTAGACGCTAGGGACCGAATGAGCTGATATTATTAGTTTCTAACCAGTGTTTATAGGATAGTATTATAAAGTAGAAAAAAGCACAAGGAGATTATCTACCTCACACTTTTTGCAGTAAAAGAAGTTTAAGCTCCAAAAAAGAGTTTGTAAACTCAAATGTTTATATAGCCAAGCAGGTAATATAAATAAGCAAAGAGAGCCAGCTGAGGGCTGGGGAGCAACCATGTGGTCTAAAGGAGGCGGTCCTGCGTAGCCCCAGGAGAGTGCTGCCCTGGAGGGGAATGTGAAACAGTGTTGTCAGACCTTCTGATTTTGCAACAGAAGTCAGAAATCTGAATTTGTTTTGCATGAAATTTTACTTTTAAATATTGATAACTAATTCAAATCAAACAAACAAACAAAGAACATATACTGTGGGACTTAAATAAAATAGTCTATTGGTCAAAAATCTCTCTTCTAAAAGATTAGATTATCAGTTCTAATCCTACCACTGTCACTTACTTACCAGCTGTCTCACTGAGACTCAGTTATCACATCTCTAAGCATGACCCCCTACACTATAGGCATATGTGTATCCTCAATACAATGATAGGTAATATTATTAAAATAAATACAAAAAGGATCAGAGCAACCAGAGCAGAAATTTGCAAAGTTATCTTGACATATTCTTGGTCCTAAGTTAATACTTAACTATAATCAATGGAAAGTTTTAATGTATCAAAAGAATATGTCCACCAGAAAGAGTTGGTCAGCAATAGAAACGCAGAAAAAAGACTGCCAGAAGAGCAAAGTTGGCAGTCATCAACTCAGCACAACTTAGGGTACTAAGCGGGTTCTTTATGTCAGTCCTGCTCAAGAGAAATTTCCACCATGGTGGAAATGCACTGTCCAGTATGGTAGCCACTTGCCACATGTGGCTATTGAGCACTTGAAATGTGACTAGTGCAACTGAAGAACTGCTCTTAATTTTATTTAATTTAAATCACCGCATGTGGTGAGTGGCCACCAGATCGGACAGTGTAACTCTAGGTCCTTTTATCCTTGAGAAAGGCATATACCTATGGTGCAGAGGAATGCATCAGGTTAGCACAACTCCATCACAATCCAAGTAACCTACTAGGATTTCACACTCACCAAGCAATTCTCTCGCTAGTCACTGTCTTATACAGATTAACACACAGGAAGAGAGTGCGCTATGAGTAAATATAAATATTTGATCCATGCATAATTGTAATAAACCATCTTAATTTGTAGTTATCAGCTTTTCTTGCAGTGGGTTATCTTAAATCTGTCCCTTAGGATGCTAACAAACTTGACTTTGCCAGCACACCACACTGACAACCAGGCTCTGACATATGGTATCCAAGCCAAGGAACGGACACCCTGTAGGCACTGGTCTGGATGACATATTCGCCTTACTATATGACTCCTCAAACTGACAGAATCCCTGTCTCTTCTCTATTATATGGCACGTTTGTTTTTCAGTAAGTTGAAAGCATTGCTTACCTCTTTTTCCAGTATCTTCAAATCTTTATCATTCTTTTGAGATTCCTTCTATTTAAAAGTCAAAGAACAGTGATAAATTTAATTGCCACAAAAATCACAGCCAAATTTGATTTTTAGTTATCAGAAAAGATGAAGGATTCAAAACAGTTCATTTCACTGAGTCTGTTAAACATTTTGCAGGTGACTTATCTGGTAAAGGAAGGAAAAGATTCTTTACATCTCAAAATATTTTGGGTTTAAAAGTTTTCACCCCCAATAGATTAGGCTTTTTCTAACAAGTCCAGTGAAAAGAACAGGTGGAGCTTTATGAATAAAGGTACTGACTGCCTCCTTTCCAACATTAAACAGAAACACATTTTGAATATTTAATTATGCCACCTAGGAATAAAAAGAATCTTACCAAGAGAAATCAACTTAAAATTTGACACCCAAAGAGGAGAAAAAAAATACAGATGCAAAGAAAAAAAATGAAATAGTACAAGCTGTGATTCTAATGTACTCATTGCCTTTATTCTAAATAGGACATATAATTTTCATACTACATCTTTTTATATCCAACACCCTTTCTGAGGGAATAGCCAAAAACAGAATATCTATCTTTTCCATCTGAAAATGGAAGAAAATACACAAACATCTTGAATGAAACCTGTTTTACATGTTTCTAAGTTGGGGGAGGGCCACACCAGTCTCATGTCTTAATTTCCCACCTGATGGCATTTTCTAAAAAGGAAGGTTTATTATTTTGGGATTTGACACAAACTTTCTATGTAATTTAGTTTTCTAAGAGGCTTTGTGAATTCTATAATTAATTCAAAATTTCAGAACTATTTCTCCAAGAGATTAAAGTCAAGAAATTTACATCAATTTTCAAGAAGAGTATCTATATTAGTACTGCCCAATAAAAATAGAATGCAAGCCATATATGTATTTTCAAATGTTCTAGTAGCCACATATAAAAAGTAAAAATTTTAATAATATATTTTACTTAACCCAGTATATAAAAAATATTATTTCAACAGGGGTTAGCATAAAAATTAATATGAAATTACATGAGATATTTTATATTTTTTGTACTAGGTCTTCAAAATTTATCATGTATTTATACTTACAGTATATCTCAATTCAAATGCTAAATCTTCATCAGAAATATCTATCTATATTTAGATTTCATAAAAAACACAGATGCAGATGGAGAAGTAAATTCACATACCCAAGTTGTTCCAAAAACGTTTAAAATTTTTCCAACAGAATTGAGTATTAGTTTTTAAGTATACATTAATTAAAACTAAATAGCATTAAAAATTTAGTTCTTCAGTTTCTAGTGCTCAATTTCAAGGGCTCAATAGCCACATGTAGGAAATTATTTTCATATTGGACAATGCAGCTCTATATTATAGGATAAGAGACTTAGGTAACTGCCAAATGAATGAACAAGTCTAAGCTTAACCTATAGCTTTGGTTTCCCAACTCTGAATCTTTTACACATTAAAACATCAATTTGTACAACTCCTTAAGAAAGTACATCTTGCTTTTATGAACTAATGGAAACAGTAATAGTAGTAGGCTCTTGCACAAGCCGTAACATGAAGTTATTAAGAATTTAATCTCCCACCACTCCTTGGCAGTTTCTGAGTAGCAAACTTCTTTTAGGTATTAGAACGTTTTTTCCTTTTTCTTCACCAATACTTACCCTTCCCCACAAACAAATAAATAAAAAAAACCAATACAACTCAAACGATGATAAATAACAAATCAAAGCATCACATATTATACAATTTATCTAGATGGGGCCAGCCCGGTGGTGTAGTAAAGTTTGCCTGCTCTGCTTTGGCAGCCCAGGTTTCGTGGGTTCAGATCCCAGGCATGGACATACACACTGCTCGTCAGGCTATGCTGTGGCTTCATCCCATGTACAAAGTAGAGGAAGACTGGCACAGATGTTAGCAGCTCAGGGACAATCTTCCTCAAGCAAAAAGAGGAAGACTGGCAACACAAGTTAGCTCACGGCCAATCTTACCCACAAAAAAAAAAAAAAAAAAAAAATCTAGATAAAAGACTGAGAAGTGCAGACCATTTTGTAATTCTGAACTAAGGGCACATTTAGATGCAATATATTCAGTAATGATGTAGGCAGAAATGTAAATCTTACTAGAGTCCTAATGATAACATGTTTCATTAATTTACAGATTTTCTTATAACCTTAATTTATATGCTTAACTTCTTCTAGTCAAATACAATACCTTTCAGAAGTGTTTTCAAAGATAGTTGATAAACCAGCTAGCATATAAGAGCTCCTCACCTTTAATCCTAAAGTCTTAACTTTTCTTGCTGAAGTAGGCAAGGTAGTATCTTTGTCAACATTAAGATTTTGTTGAGATTCTGCAATAAGATGAATTGTAGAGATCATGGTTGGTGCTCACATGTTTGAACCACAGACTAAATACAATTTCCAAATTCTTAGTGCAGCTATTAGTGAAGCAATACAAAGTTATTCTTTTCTTGATTTTCCAAATAATTAGTTATACAATATTTTTTACACATCTAACACTTTCCTGATTTTCCTAATAGTCCCTGACAGAGGGTTAGGGTAATCACCAAAAGGGAAACTACATATCTCCATGAATGTCTTGCTTAATTTTCCTGGTTATACAACACTGTAATGATGAAAGTATTATTCTGTAGTTGACCCTTTTGTAAATCCGTCAAATAAGAAAATTTAAACATAGCTGTAGCTTCACACTGTTAGAAATACTACAGCATCTTTAAATTTAAATAGTTATTCATAATTTTAAAACTTACAAGATCAAAAACCATTATTCTATTTTTGGATCCATTACCTTTTGGTGTTTTAAATCTTTGCGATTTCCGAAAGGATACTGGTCCTTTCAATACTTCTGAAGTTTTAACATCATAAGCACCTGGAGATGGTGCACACCCTAGAGGAAACACAAAACATTAATGTCTCATCTAATGTTACTTATGATCTTAAGTTAAAAACACGTCATAGTAAAATGAGTAATATAAACGTAAGTTTGCCATTAATAAATTGCTTCTTTGCTTTTTCAAATGTAAAAATAGCACCAATTTGATATTATAAAGTAGGCCTCTCTATGAAAAACAGTACCATTAGCTTCCCAAATGCCCTTTACTTCAATTGGGTCAAAGAAACCCAGGCAACTGAGCAAAACAGCAGACGGTCTTGGGATGAACATCACGTAAGAACAGGCAATGTGGTTTTGTTATTAAAGATCGAATATAAGAAATAACATGCTTGGAATCAACTCTGCTCAAAGAGAGTCACTGAGGTAACTACCAGCAGATTCTAGAAATGAAGCAACTAAAAGTGTCTAGCCCTCAAGCTCTAGCCTAGAATAAAAATTTATAGTGATAATTCGTCTCCGGCTAGTATTAATATATCAGGAAATTTATAAAGTCATGTCATGTAAAGTACAAAATATACTAGACTAGATTTCTATGTTCCAGAAATTTATACTGTATAGCCTCATGTAACTGGAGTCCCAGATGGAAGGCATTTCAGAGTGTCTATTTCGTTTCAGTGACTTAAGATCTGGCTCTCAGGATTTATAACAATAAAAACATTATTAGCATATATCTTCAGCTGATTTGGAATCAATAGATTTATGCTATTCTCTGAAAAGCTATTTAATTCAGTCTAGAGTTTCATGCAAATAAATAGGAACAGCAGGGAATCTGACCATTCCAAGGCAACTCCTGCTGTCCCAAGTGTTTTTCAAATAGAATCATAGGAACTCATTAGTATATCTTGACTAGCATACACAAAAAACGCAACACAACAGAAAATATCAGTGTGACTCATGTTGCAAAGTTAAGCACTGTTTTGTGGGACTTTTGTTTCAGTTATGCGTAGAAATATAAAAATATATCCCAGATAGAGATAGAGAATTTTTCACCCTGGGACACAATTAAAAAGCATTAAAGTCATTGCTTTCATCAATTCACTAGGCCATAAAAACATCAAGGATAGAATTAAGTTTCCATCCCTCTATCTGAAACAATGATCATTTATAGGTACTGACACAAAGATTCCAATCTTGGGAGCTTTCGGATCTAAATGTGGTGAATAAGGGGTAGAGATAGCGGACTTCCAATCAGGAGAAATTCTGAAAACGAAGTGTGGAATTCACTGGGGTATCTAAGGTAAACGCAGACCCAGCAAAAAGCATTAACCTTGGCTAGCTCAGGTTTCTCAGACCTCACAAACTATTTACACCCTGGGGTGAAGGGTAGGGTGAGAGGGGCTTCCCTAAAACCAGGTTAAGGTTGGCACATCTTACAGCATCTATTTTACTTCTCTGGGATAGAGGTGGGGGAGGCAGGGGGGAACATATTATTATTATTATTATTATTATTATTTTAAGATTTTATTTTTTTCCTTTTTCTCCCCAAAGCCCCTCGGTACATAGTTGTATATTCTTCATTGTGGGTCCTTCTAGTTGTGGCATGTGGGACGCTGCCTCAGCGTGGTTTGATGAACAGTGCCATGTCCGCGCCCAGGATTCGAACCAACAAAACACTGGGCCGCCTGCAGAGCACGCGAACTTAACCTCTCGGCTACGGGGCCAGCCCTGGGAACATATTATTTTTTAAAGCAAACAGGAGGTTTCAGAGAAAACTGTCACCATTACCGTTAGTTATGCCTTTTTGGGGAAGGAAGGGTGAGGGGATGCAGAGACTATGGTTATTCTCCTTTGCTGTCTGCTGTTAGGGATGCTTCTGTGGAAAAGTGTGAAAAGCAAAGCTCGAGACCTGGCAGAGCAGCCAGAAAATAAAATGATGCTGAATTCTAGTATTTTAGTTCATCATTAGGTCCACACTCTCAAAAGGGGATAATGGCCAGCAAAAGAAGGGATGGTGGACAGGGACTAAGCAGGATCATGTAAGCTGAGAACAACTAAAATCAATCTCAGCAGGAACCCTTCCCTAAAGACTAAAGAGTCAAGTTTGACAGTTATGGGGATTTAGACTTAAGAAAAACTAGGTTGAAATCCAGCCTGTACACCTACCAGCTCTTTGTGAAACTGTGGCATGTACCATTTTCATGGTCTTTTCCTTACTAACACTTAAATGTATGACATTATAGACATGACCTGTTAGAAATCTGGGAAGAGGGAATATCAGACAAAAGGAATGGGATATGTTGGGAGATATCACAAGCTTTCTGCAACAACTTACATCTTGATTAACAATGACTGGAAGATAACACAGGTAATCAATACTTGTATGCGAACAAAACATTATGCAGTACATTAAATAAATGCTTCAAACTTCCAGACCCCTTTATTTCCTATTTCTCCCACGTAGAATGGACAGCCTGCCTTCCATTTTGCCTGGCTAACTCTCACTTATCCTTCAACTCTCAGCCTGGATGTCACCTCTGAGCTTTCTCTGAAACCCCAAATCAGTTTAGAAATCTCCCTCCATAGCAGCCTGCACGTAGTGTTTCTATCATAAAACTTCTCAGTTTTGTAATGGTTTATAATAACATACTTATCCATCTCCCACATTAGAAAAAACTGCCTGAAGTTAGGGACTGTCTTAATCGTGTCTGTATCCCCAGCATTTAGCTCAGGGTTGAGTTTGGCAGTGTGGCGAAGAAAACAGAAAGTTGTTGGTGATGTAGGACTGAGAAGAGAGTTTTGTAATCAGCCAGATCAGGGTTCAAATCCAGCTTTGTCTGCCAATCAATAGAGATATTACTAAGTGCAAAGTAATTTGTTGTCACAGGGCGATGGTGAATAAGACTCTCTCCTTTTCCAGTCTAGCGTTAAGACCCCAGAAAGTTACTTCTATTTGAGGCTGATTCTTCATTCATGAAACAGGAAGAAAAAACAGTATCTACCTCATAGTATGGTTGTTAGGATTACTGGAGTAATATGAGAAATCACTACTGTGCCTCACACACATATCAAGCATCAAACAAGTGATAACTGTTATTACTCCCGAGACTGTGAGGCTGAAATATTGCATCAGTGGTAAAGTCAGTTTAATTCATTATAAAGCAAAAAAAATTCACCTTAAAAGACAAACTACTGACAGCACTTAGAGCAGTTCTTTGAATAGCAAGGAAATAACAAGGTCCTTGAGTCTTTTAATTAAGAAAATAAGCTTGCGCTGAGCCATTTGCTCACTTGGTCTTCCTTTGTGAGCAGTGGTGCTCAGTTCTATCTGCACGTCAGCTGATAGAAATTAAAGATGTAATGAGTGAGTGTTAAAAAGCGTATATTATAATGGACAAATCATGGGCTTTGATGTTCAGCTCTACCACATACTGGCTGCTCAGCACAGTCATAAAAACCCTAAACCTCATCTGTAAAATGAGGACAATATCAGTATCTTCCTCATCTGGCTGTTGGAAAGAATAAACCAAATCTAGTAGGGAAGACTTTAGCCACGTCCCTGCATAGAGTTAGCATCTACTAACGATGAGAGCCTTACTAAGCACATCCAATGCTTCCTGGTTGCTGAGCTCATGCACTGCAGTGGTTAAGAGCACAGGATCCATGGAGGCCTGGTTTCATGCCGCCGTTCTGCCAATTTGGTTGGGTAACTGAGCAAATCTAAGTCTCAGTCATTTTATCAATAAAATAATGAATAATAGGATTACCTGTTAGGGATGTTGGTGAATTAAAAAAGAATAATCGATATAAAGACTTAGTATGGTGCCTGGGGTGCTATCAATATTAACTGACACTATTTTATTTATAGTATTTTCGGTAAGTGCTACTGCCATAATTTTACACCCATAAACTGCCTTTATCAATCTTCCTTCTTCTATGACCGAATGGAATAGGCAAAAGAAACCCACAAGTTCCGACGAAAAGCAATGGTCAAATGTTTTGTTTTTTTTTTTTATCAGGGAGGCCTTCCGGATTTGACCATCAAATAGCTACCAATGCTTCTTCACGCCCATTCCCTTCCGTCTGCTTCAGTTTCTCTACAGCACTAATTGTTTACTGGCTGTACTCTCAACTGAAGGTAAGCTCCATGGGGCAGGGACTTTGTTTCGCTCACTCTATCCTTATCATCTTGAATAGTGCTTGGCATGTACTAAACACTTAGTATATACTTCAGAAAAGTGATCAATTTAATGAGCCCCATCCCCGCTCTAAAATCGCCTCCCATATGCCTCTGATGAAGGGAACACCGAGAGGGGCAAGGGGCGTGAGAGCATCTCCCGTCCCCCAGCTCCTTTCCCTGTACGCACCGGAAGGGTCATTGAATCGTTTCAGGGGCGCCTTAGGAAAGGACATGCTGACGACCAGCTCCACAAACCGAAGATCACTAGCGCTCCTCGGCAACTTCCTGCGGTTTATTACGGACTTAATCGCTTCAAATTCAAATCTCCCCACTTATTCCCCGCCCATCCCGAAGTTAGCCAATTGCAAAACCAAGACCCTAGGTACACCAATCCAGGACGGGAACAGCCAAAGAGCATGCGCACTCGGCTCTCGCCGAATCCAATCAGGTGGCCTGCGGGTTTAGGCTACCAGCCAATAGGAGACTGTTACTGTCTCCTCCCTCCGCCAAGCCCCGCCCACGCCGCTCTAGTTGTTATTCAATTGTAACCTACGCGCTAGGAGGATTTGCGCAAGCGCACTTCACATCCCAGAAGTTTGAAAGTTTGTGTTTGGCGTCACGTAGGGGACAGTGCAGTGAGTTCCAGCTTAACTGGTTCCAGCCCTCTCCAACCATTCCTTGGGTGTAAGCTTTTCAGGATTTCAGTTCTTTCAAACTGGGTTCTGACCAGTTTGGCCTAAACGGAAGGAAAAAACGAACCCACGTTGAGACGTCAGCTTATATTCCTTGCGCATGTGCTGTGACCCGAGCAGCGAGGCCGGGGCGTGGCCTGAGCGTGGAGATTCCGCGCATGCGCTCAGCTCGCACGGCGCGGCTGCAGCCAGGAGGCGACTGAAGTATGTCGGCCCCATTTGAGGAGCGCAGTGGGGTAGTTCCGTGCGGGACGCCGTGGGGCCAGTGGTACCAGACCTTGGAGGAGGTGTTCATTGAAGTTCAGGTGCCGCCTGGCACGCGCGCCCAGGACATCCAGTGCGGCCTGCAGAGCCGGCATGTGGCTCTGGCCGTGGGTGGCCGCGAGATCCTCAAGGTAGCGGCAGGTCGGGGCTGGTGCTGTTTCTTCCCAGCCTCCCTAAACCCCCGCGTCCTGAACTTCACGGTTTCCGTGGAAAGACTGGGAAAGCCTTACGGCGCGTCTGCGTGGCCGAGAGAAAATTGACCTGGTTTTGATCTGGTCGGAGCCCCACCTTCAGGGCCAGTCCTGAGTTGACGTGGAAATTTGAGGAGCCCATGTTTCAGGCTTTATTTCTAAACCAAATGAAGCTGCTGCTTTTCTCTGGGGTTCTTAAGCGGAGAACAACTTAACTAGATGGTTAAAGGAACAAATTTTATCATACATATCCTTTCTTCCAGGCACTGAGTTAGGTGCACAAGATAGATAAGGTTCCTGCCCTTGAGAGGTTGTATTCTTGTAGGGAGGCATAATAAAACTAAACTAATTAATATTTAGGCAATTATGGGAAAGTAAAGAAGAAAATTCAGGCTGTCGGGATGAGGATTCAGAGATGATGTCAGGTGATTTATTTTCTCATCTAAAATTAGAAAAAATCTGCATATTCGTGGAGCTATTAAGTAGGTGGTCCAGAAGTGTGTGAAGAAAATAATATCCCATTTATTTTCACCAGTGCCCTTTGGATCTGGGACCCGCTTTGTCCTTGTTAAGCTTTATAGTTAAATTCAATTAAGTTGAAGTTAGATTTCTTAATCGGATTGGATGCCAAGATGTTTGGTGGCGGTGTAGTGTAGTGGTGAGGGGAGACGACTTGGTAGGTGGTTCTGCTGTTTTTCTAGTTTTGTAACCTTGGGCAGGAGATGATCCAGTGTCTCCAAGCGTTTATCTGCAAAGTGCGGTAATTATAGTACCTTTCTCATAGGCTCATAGGATTATTTTGAGCATAACGTGATATCCGTGTGAATGAACATGTAGGAGTGGTGTCTGGTACTTAATAAGTGAAGACTACATGTTAGCTGTTATTATTTAGTATGGAAGTGCTTTGAGTGCCTTAGGCAAAAGCAAGAGTCATATGAAAGACATTGATTTATGTCAACTTGGGTCTTAATAACTTTTCTGCACATTTGTGCATTTCATAGTTTCCTGAACAGTGGTTTAAGATTGCACTTCAGAGTTACTTTAGTAATTCCAGTAACTTTGGGATTTTAGCAATAGGTCTAACTCTAGGATTTTAGGTCTACACTTAGACCAATAAGATTTTTTTCACTAGTGTTGACATGAAAAAAAATGTTTTCTTTTTTTATGTGACATTTTAATTTCATTTCCTAAAACTTAAATTTGGCAAGCAGCAACAAATCAAAATGGATTTGAGTGGATGCACTGTCTTTTAAACTTATATTTTGCTTTTATCTTTCTTAAAAACAAGTTTCTGAAAAATCAGTTAAAAACTTAATCTGACATCAGATCTGCAGTATTTGCTTTAAAATTTTTTAAATGCCAAATTGCCCAACAAAGAGATTGAACCAGTTTTTAAAAGTTTATTTTAAAAGACATCATTTCTTCTTAATTTCAGTGGGAGAGCTCTTCTTATAGTTCATTTTGATTGGTAAAGTATTTCAGATACTAATTTCACATTTGGCTAATCAGTGATTAGTAGTATTTCTTTTTCTTCTAGAAGTTGAGTCCTCACCTTTCTTTAGAGAATCCTGTGTTCTCTGTCATAGTAAATATTCCGAGCATTGTAAACGAGATTCCATTTCACTGGCTAGGAGGAAGCTTAGGGTTGAACACCTTTCAATGTGTTAAAATGGTATAAAATTTGATCTCTCTATTCTAACCAAATTAGAAAATTATGTGTGGATTAGATAGGAAATTAGGTAAGTCCTAAATCATGAAAGCTTTAAAAATTAATGAAATGTCTGTATTTTTAGTGCTTTATATGTCTGTTTTTTTCAGGGCAAACTCTTTGATTCTACAATAGCTGATGAGGGAACGTGGACTTTGGGTAAGGGTAATCTATTAGAATTCTTAGAATCTTTTTTAAAATTAATTTTGTCTCAGTATGTTTCCCCTGTTGTATTAGGTCCTTTGTCTTTGCAGCTTTGGAAGATATAGTGATAGAAATGTATTGAAAACAATTGTATGTCAAGTACATAATGGTTTTGGAAAATAAATTTAATGATGAACTCTAATTTTTTTGTGGTTTTTGTTTGTTTAGAAGACAGAAAAATGGTCCGTATTGTTCTTACAAAGACAAAGAGAGATGCAGCAAATTGTTGGACTTCTCTTCTAGAATCTGAATATGCAGCTGATCCTTGGGTGCAAGATCAAATGCAGAGAAAACTTACATTAGAGAGATTCCAGAAAGAAGTAAGTCAGATGAATGTATGAATATGTATAGTTAAACATCTTACAATCATAGAATAATTATTATTTGAAATTAATACTCAAATGTAATTATAAAAATGACAAAAAGTGTTTAGAGGAATTTTTTAAGTTAAATGATTAGAAAAATGATTGGCCTTTCTATGTATGGACTTGATTTTTTATTTTATTTTCTTGAGAGGAATATGTTTGTACTGCCATGATTTTTAAGTTTAAATTTATATAATGTATACCAGTAATGCATGAATGAAGTCATAAACATTCAATCAATATAGACTTACATAGTATAAAAAAGTGAAGGGCACCTTCAGCGTCTCCCCATTCCATACCTCTGTCTCATTCTCATCAGTATATTGGCTTGTATGTTTTGTTTTTAACATAAATGGAGGATCGCACTTTGTGTATTTTTCATGTTGCTTTTTCCTCTTGATAATATATCTTGTGTCTCTTTTCCTCCTAGTACCAAATAGATAAAACATTCTTTTCAACTGCTTCAGAGTGTTTTCTGGTTTGAATGTATCATGATTATTTATTTAGGTATTCCCCTTTGATAAGATTTAGATTTCTCCATTTGTAGCTATTTCAAACAAAGTTTGTGCCTTCATTTCTGTGAAACTATTCAGATGTTCTTTTAAGATAGATATCTAGGAGAAGAATTACTGGATCAAACTACTGTTAAAGTTTTGGTGGATAATTTCCATCTATGTGATGATGATTCCCAAATGAATCATCTCTAGCCTAGACTTTTCTACAGAATTTTGGATTCACATTTCCAATTGCCTATTCAACGTCTCCACTTGACTGTCTGACAGACGTGTTAAATTCAACATGTCCAACCTGAACTCCCTAACTTCCCTCCCTCATTTGTTCTACCTCTAGCCTTCCTGGCTCAGTTGAGGAAACTAGTTGTTCTGACCCCCCAAAAATTGGAGAATCATCCTCCATTCCCATCGTTCTCTCACACCCTGTCCAATTTGTCAGGAAACCTTACTGGCACTACCTTCCAAATATATTCGGAATTTGACCACTTCTCACCACCCACTCACTACCGCTCTGATCTGAACCATATCTAACATCTTATCTGGATTACTCCAATAACCTAGCTGTTCTCTTCACTTCTACCCTTGCCAAGCTACGGTCTTCTCAAAACAGCAGTTAGAGCAGTCCTTTAAAATGCAAGTCACATTACATCACTTCTCTTCTTAGAACTCTTTCACTCTAGTAAAGGACAGTATTTTACAAGGCCCCACCTGACCCCGGTCCTCCGTGATCTGCCTGACCTCCTCTCCTGCTGCTGTCCCCCTCATTCTGCTCAAGCCATACTGGCTTTTTTGCTGTTCCTTAGACATGCCAGGCTGTTTCTTTTCTGTCCTTTTGACTGCAATGCTCTTCTTCCAAAGCTTGGCTAACCTCTTCACTGTTCTCAAGTCATGGCTCAGTGAAGCATACTTTGATCTTTGATCATACACTTTAAATTCTATAATCTTCTCCTCATTTCCCTAACTCTGCCTTCTTTTCTTTCTTTCTTCTTTTTTTTTTTCCTAGAGCAGTTGCCAACTTTTAACACCCTAGAACAGGGGCAGGCACACTACGGCCCATGGGTCAAATCCTGCCCACTGCCTGCTTTTGAAGTAAAGTTTTACTGGAACTCACCTGTGCTTATTCGTTTGTGTATTGTCTTTCATATAGCAATGGCAGAATTGAGTAGTTATGACAGACACTATATGGCCTTGAAAACCTAAAATATTTACTACCTGGCTCTTTGTAGAACAGTTTGCTGATCTCTGCACTAGATAGCTTAATGGTTTATTATTTGTCTCCTCCTGTTGAATGTAAGCTCCACCAGAGGAGGGATCTTTGTCTGTTTTGTTCACTCTTAAAATCCACGTGCCTGGGGCCAGCCCGTGGCTGAATGGTTGAGTTCGTGCTCTGCTTTAGTAGCCCAGGGTTTCGC